GATACATGAAACAGTGGCAGTGCTGTTAACTTGTCTTCAAGGTCTTTGTCTCCTTTTTTATCTTCTTTTCTCCCAGGAACTCTTAGATACCAACCCTCCATAAGGAAAAATGGTGCACATGGCCACAGCTTAACACGTGTCCACTGTTGCCTCCGCAGCCAGAGGGTGACCCCTAAATCCCTCATACAGAAATTCTGGAACCACTGCTTTCTGGATCTAGTGTCCAAGATTCCAGCATAAGCTGTGGGATCCAAGCTGTCCTGCAGGGCTCCTCTTCATGAGAATGATCAGCACCTTGTGGTAGTGGGACAGATAGAGATTATTAAAGGGCATGAAGATCTGAGTTTGGGTCCCCTGGAATTTGGATTTTTACCTGAACATAAGGTTTAGTGACTCCTTGTGGTGCAGAGAGTTCCAAAAGCAGGATGCTCACTGAGAACGGGATGTATAAGACCTGCTAACAAATCTAGAAATCTGTGTCCTTCTTTAAATTTGAAGAAAAACTAATAATTTTAAGTTTTCAGAAAATTTATAAGGATGGTGCAAAAAATTTCAATGTAATCTTTACCCAGAATTATCAATTTTTAATATTTTGCTGCAGTCATTTTCTTCCTTCTTTCTGTTTATTTTTTTCCTTAATCTATTTCACATAGTAGGTTGGGGACCACATGCTCCTTTACTCCCAGTACTTTTACATGTGTCTTATAAAATCTAGGATAATTTCTCATATAACTACTAATCAAAATCATGATGTTCAATCTTAGATATAATGCTTCCACATAGTCTGAACCTCTAATCCAATTTCATTAATACCTTTCACCAAAGTTTTTTTTTTGCAGTACTGAAGGATTTAATCCAGGAGTGCTCTACTACTGATCTATATCTCCAGCTCTTCTTTTAATTTTGAGGCAGAGTCTTGTTAAGTTTCCCAGCCAGAACCCAAACTTGAGATACTTCTGTTTCAGTCTCCTTCACTGCTGGGGTTATAGCAGTGACTACCACACCTGGCTTCTGAAACATATTTTAAAATAGTATCCTGATCTGCAATTTTCAGTTGTTAATGTTCTTTAGATTTTTAATTTGGGATAGCTGCCCAGCCTTTTCTTTGTCTTTTGTAACACTGACATTTAAAAAAGATGGCAACTTTTGTTTATCTGTTTTCTTGCTTATGTGTAGGTGCCATATTTCATGGCTATGACTGCAGCTGCAAAAGGGCTTGAGAGAAAGCAATTCAGCACAAAGAGCAGATCTAAAATTGGAGCAAAGAAAATGTCCAAGGCTCCTTGAAATAGCATGACAATATAACAATGCAGGTCCCAGTGAGAAAGTCCATATCTGAAGTGAAGATTCTCTCAGCCAAATATGGGAGGTTTCAATCCATTGCTTTTTCCTCCAAAAATGTCATCATCTCTTCTCCCAGACAAACTGATATTCTCCTCTTACTATCTTTTGACAGGAATTAAATGAACTCTTGTCTCCATAAATCTCATTTCTCAAAACACACCTCTCAACAGTTGTGAAATATGAGTATCTCCAATGTAGCCAGCTGGTTATCTTATTTACAGGATAGCTGATGGCTCTCTTCTTTTCCACCTCCTGTGAAAGTGTAGGGCACAGAAGCTGGAATTATTCACTTGCATTACTTATTTATTTGTTTGTTTAGCTTATATCACTCTGCTCTCTAATATTAGTAGTTATCAGTATGACTCATTATAGGTCATTAGATAATACAGCAGAAATGCTGATACCTTAAATTGAATTGTTTCAGCAAAAGTTTTGTCAAGAGTTCTGAAGTGTTTAGCAGTGCACTAGGCACCAGGACTCCAAAATTAATCAAGCAGATATATCTCTTGCCTTCCACAACATTATGGTTAAGTGGGAGAGAAAAAATTAAGTCTGCAATTGATAAGACATGCTACAGTGGACCTTTGACTTATGAACTCAATTCGTTCATGAGGGCTGGTTGTAACTCAGGTTGGTCTATTGAAAGCTCAGAGTTCTCCACACAGCCTTCAATGCCTCTCTCGTGTAATTTTAGGCCATACTTTCTTCCAGGCAGATCTCTTAGAGAGGAATTGGCCCAGGATTTCTCAATTAATCCCACACAGGAAAGGATGTGGTAATGTTTCTTCCAGAACTCTTTAAGGGTTAAATCTGTATCTGAGACCATCTGGAAGCACAAGCTGCCAGCATTCAGGTGGTAACTCAAGACTTTGGTAGTAAGTTGAAACTAAAATTCCAGTCATAACCCAAGTTGTTCGTGTGTCTGGCTGGCCATAACTCGAGGGTGCGCTGTATTATGGAGGTGCACCATAATGCTGAAATACAGAAAATGATTTGCTATCCTGATCTCAGGGGCATAATGCCTTTTCATAGGAGGTAGTTTCTTCTAAACTGGGACTAGGAATTTAAGTAGAGGAGGGGTGATGAGGAAGAGAGTGAGTCAGACAGAAGTTACAATCTGTAACAGTCTTAAGAAGAGGGCCAGGGATTTAGCTCAGTGGTTCCGATGCCTGCCTCCCAAGCGAAAGGTCCCGAGTTCAATCTCCAGTACCAAAAAATAAAGTCTTAAGAAGAAAAGGAGATGGGAAAACCAGAGGAATTGAAAGACTTATGTTGTAGGAGTCAGTTGTTTCTATAAACATGCTGTATAAGAAATCACTTCAAATTTCAGTGGCCCTCTACCTTGGTGTTTATTCTTATACCCATGAGCCTGCTGACCTATTGTTTGGCTGACCTACAGTGATCTCCGAAGGATGTTGATCTTCAAACTCTCATTCTTCTGGATCTAGATCTAAGATGGGGATTAAATTCCGGTGTTCTTCAATATGTTTAATTTGAGGAAACCTGGTGAATTTACCAAGCAGTTACAAGTAGCAGTTATCCAGACATGTTCTTCTTGTGACATATCATTGGCAGAAAAAGTCATGTTAAGTAGCAAAAGTAAATTTAAAAAGTCTCTGTTCATGACACAAGTATTAGTATTTGTGGCCAAGTCACAAGGCCCAAAGCTGTGGAGAGGGGGTACATACTCTTCTCTCATTGAAAAGTGGTATGTGAATATTTGTTGAATATAAACCAAAACTATTGTCTTAGTCAATTTTTCATTGCTAGGACAAAAACTGGAACACCTGCAACATAAAGGAGGAGAGTTTTATTTTGGCTCAGATTTCAGTCCATGTTTGGCTGGCTCTGAATAATAAACAGTGTGGTAGACAAATTTGGCCTAGGAAACCCTGCTTATGTCATGACAGCTGGAAAGCTGAGAGGGAAGAGAGGAGACAGGGAGGGGGATATGCCCTTCTAGATCATGCCCCCAGTTACCCACCTCTTCCAACTAGGCCCCACCTTCTAACATCACATTTAGCTATAGCAACCCTATGTTTCAGTTACCTTCTAATTGCCTGCCTATGAACACATGAGGCTCTTAAGGAGACACCTAGATATAAACCATAACAAGCTATCATATATGGTACAGGAAGAGAGGCTAGCACTGAACAATACTGATGATGGGAAGCTGTAAGAAAGACATTGTGGGGACAGACTGACCTATCAACTCATCTAGATAAACTAAGAAAATACATAAGCTAGTAAGACATCCTAGACTACTTTATTGCTTATTTTTTACTTCTTCATTTTTGTAGCTTAAAACAGAAACCAGGATTAGTGAAAGGTTCAAAGACCAAACACATTGAAATGCAGTGGTGGGAGATGAAGCAGATGATTCTGACTTTACTGTATTGGTTGTTTTATAGATATTATTTTGTTTTATAAAACAATTGCTACTATTTTAAGGGCCAGACCTTTAACATTGTGTCTTATAGAATGTTACTAGTTATAGTAGGATTCCTAGATGGCAAGAATCAAAATTCACCTGGATGCTTGTTAAAAGTATACTCCAAAGTAAACACATAATTGCTGAAATCAGAAATTAGGACTGTGCCAGCTTTCTGTCACTCTGACAAAATACCTGGGAGAAACAACTCAGGAGGAAACTTAGATTTTGGCTCATGGTTTTAGTCTATGGTGAGTTGGTTCCTTTGCTTTTGGGCCTGTGGTGCAGGAGTTTTTCATAGTGGGAGCACATTGGAGAGGAAACTGCTTACTTCAGGGGTGCTGAGAAGCAAAGAGAAAGAAACAGGAAAGGGCTAGGATCCCAGTACTCCTTTCAAGGGCATGTCCCCAATGACTTAACTTCTTTCCACTAGGCCTTCCCTCTTGAAGGCTTCTCCACGGGCCTTTAACACATGGGTATTTAGGGGATACTTATCCAAACTATAGCCAGTAGCATTTTAATTACACAGACAGATTATTCTTCTGCACATTAAAGTCTCAAAGTCACTATTATAGGATATTTATAGAGGGCATACAAGTCAGAAAAAAAGGACACCTTCAGTTATGAAGTCAGTGCCCTAACTTTATGAGACGCTATGGTCAGGAGAGTAGACCCTATAAAGATATATTATTTCTGACTTTATCCAACTATGGAGCTTGCAGTCTTGTAGGCTGAAAGTTACATAGAAGCTTCATACCTAAATACTGCAGTATATGATATGAGGATTAAAATAAAGTATTAGATTTATATAATATATAATGTTTAATATATTAAAAAATCTCCAAAATAGTTAAACTAGCTCAATCAAATCTGAGAAAAAGCAGGAAGAAACTTTAGAGTCAGATAGTTTAAAATGGACAGTAAAGAACTCGAAGTTAAAATTAAAGAATCACGGAAAACTATAGTTGGTTTGAGGCAATGAAAGCAGTGGAATTCAGCAGAGAGTAGGGGTCAAGGACACAGGCTCTGGAGTCCAGGGAGCAGGGTAAACACTACTCTGCTACTTATTAGCAGTGTGGTCTTGGTCTAGTCACTTAATTCTAAATCAATTATTTCTTCATTTTTGAAAAGGGGATGGTTGAATGTATCTTGTGCCAGGTTCTTAAAGTTATGATCCCTAAAAGAATCTCACCTCTTACTTTCTGTTTTCTTGCTCTGAGCCCAGCTGACTTTGCTGGAGTCAAGAGACTTCCAAATGTGATACAAGCAGAAGCCTGATAAGCCTTTGTGCACCGGTGCTTTCTTTTTTGGGATGCTGACCCAAGACCATGAAGAAGGCTGTTAAGAAGCAGCCCAAGTGCAAGGCCATGTGGAGGAAGAGATGCAGCCCTGTCAGTCTTTTCAGACCAGATGAGTGCAGCACCGGCTAACTCAACTGCTGAGGGCAGCCACCTGCGTGAGTGCAGGTGAGATCAGCAGGCAAACAAGCCAGCCCACCCACAAGATTATGAAAGTGAATGAATCCTTGTTGTTGTAAATTACTAAGTGTAGGGTTTTATTTTAATGCAATAGATAACTGGAACACATCTCGTAGGTTGTCACATGCAATATCTAATTTCTGATGGGATATGTACATATAAGATAACTAAATAAATATATATATTTAACTTTGAACAGGAATCTAATAAAAGACAGAAGTATATACATATATACATTGTATATGCAAGTCTGTAATTTGTCTTCAGTCTTTTCTTTTTTAATTTGACAATGTATCTCTTGGGGATTTTTTCTTGTCAACATAAAGAACACTGCCTCATTCTTTGTAATTATCTAGTATCCTATTAAGTGGGCGTTCTATAATTTATGTAGCCATTCCCCTGCCTCTGGGTTTTACAGTGCTTCTCATTTTAAAAAAATTATACATCATTCTGTACTGAATATATTTATACACATATTTCATTGCACATTTCTGAATGTAACTGTAATATAATTTCCCAGAAGTAAAATTCTAAGTGTAAGGTATATACACACTTTATTTTGTGATAGATTTTATTTATCATTTTGATATCCAATGATGTTGCAGAAATTTATACTAACATGAAGAGTATATCAGATTGCCTGGTTCCTTTAATCAATGGTTAATAATACTATAAATTATTAAATATTTGGATAATTTCCAATCTGTCTTAAAAAGATGCCTCAAGTTTGTTTTAATGAGTCTTTACTTATTAAGGATTATTTTGAACAATTTTTATATGTCTATGAACTATTTATGATTCTGTTTTCTGTTCATATATGTTGTACATTTTTCTATTGGAGTTTTGTGATCGCATTATTTATTTAAAAGAGTAGCTTATGAATTAAAATTTTACCTTTTGTACTTATGTACTAGGAGTACTTTTTTGTTTTATCAATTCTCTTTGGGCCTGTGTTCATGATATGGTGCTGCTGCCCCACAGAAAACTTTCATTTTATGTAGATAAGTTTATTGGTCTTCCGTATTTTATTTGGATAGCTTTATAGTTTAGCTTTGAGTATTTAAACAGTGGCTCCATCTGAATTTTTTGATGGAACAATTTAGATAGAGATTCACTAAATTAGGTTTCCAAATTATGGTTCCAAACACCTGACTAATTTATCTCAATTCCATGCATTGAAAACTCTATCAGTTCACATTGATTTAAAATCTTGGTTTTAGGAAACACTGAATTTAAAGTCATTTTTGGTTCCATTCCCTTGCTTTCCCTTTTTTCTATTTCATGCCCTTCTCCCAGATTGGCTTAATTGTTGTAGCATCATAGTCTTGTAGACTTAGGCTAAAGAGTTACTCATTTTCTTCTCAGAATTGTATTCATTATTTTTACATCTATCTATTTCCCTAAGAAGTTTATACTAGTCTACTCTGAAAACGTACCTTTATAGGAATTGAATGCCATCATAACATAGGAAACATTTCTCACCACCTGTAAGTATTCTTAATGTCCCCTGGAACATTTTCTAAAGTGTCGTCAGTGGAAGACTCATTTTTTTTCCAGAAATGATAAAATTCCTGCAAAGATCAAGCAGGCCAAGCGTGAGGGGTGATGTTGGACAATACTTTGCTGATCAAAACCAAGACTGAGGCTGAATAAGAATGCTATGCTTGAATATCCTTAAATTAGTTTCAAGAATTTTTCCAAAAAAGGTATCTCAAATACTTCTGAACAACCCCCATGCAACATACTCACAGCCTATCCCGCTGACCACATTGAAAGCATAATAGTCAGTTGCATGTGTACATTTAGCATATTCATTTAATCATAATCAAAATGGCAAAATTAATGCAACCTAATAAAATATGCTTGCCATCTTAATAAAAACAATACAATTTCATATTCACTATGATTATAGTTATTTAAAAATTGGCATGTTCATGATAAAAATGCCAAAAGAACATCTGATTAAAAGGGAGGGATTAGGAGAGATTTATTTTTCTCACTTAAAAATCCAGTTAATGCTGTTATAGCAATGTTTACATAATAAAGAAAGTTAAAAGCTCAATTGCTTTATAGTCATATCTCTTAAAGAAAATTTCTGTGAATAATACAGCATTAGGATAAGGACTTTGTTATTGCTGATGGATAGAGGGGCATCATGCTATAATAGCACACAAGGAGAAATTTGAGTCCAAAGAGCTGCCAGCTCTTCATACTGTCAGCTCTGTTGCATTACCAGGGGCTGTATTGGTCCTCAAGATTTCTTATCTTTAAAATGAGTTCTTTAGAATCACTTCTCAGGGTGATTTAGAACCTTATGACTAAAAATTGTGCCCCATGAACTGGCTGTTTCAGCCTCACTTGGAGCTTTTTAGAAATAGATTTTCAAGCTCTAGTCACAAACTCTGGAATTGAAATACCTGAAAGTATAACTCAGTGATCTCTGCTTTTAGATCCTTTCCATGTGATGCCCATGCATTCTGAAGTTTGAACATCACTTACTTAGAAAGCCAAATAAATAAAATGTAATCACAAACACTAAGTTTTACAAGATTATTACCATGTGGTAGGTAAATTGTGTACAATGAAAGTTAACTCTTCATACTGGAGGCCTGGGAATGATCATTTTCTCTTTATTTTGGAATTTTTTGGTTTTTTTTAGAGTAGCATTATTTGATGTTTGGATAAGAAAACTAAATTTTCAGAAAACAAAGATTCTTTTGTTTATTTTTAAATTAAATTTATTGGTTACATTTTATTTATTTATTTTTCCTTAAATTGTTTTATTGGTACATTTTAGGTACACAATACACTTATATTTATCATTGGGAACTTGTACCTTTACTTGATGTATCTTGGTTCTTATTTTCTCCCCATTCCTTGCCCTTCAATCACCCCCTCCAACATTCCCTATTTATAAAGACTTTGTTTCCTTTTTTACCATTTCTCATAATTTTTCCTTTCCCTTCTTTCTTTTCCCCTACCCCTCCCACTATCCTTACCCCTTTGGACCTTTTCTTCCTATTTTTCATAATCAATTAATCATTTTAATCATTGGTACATTTTAGGTATACAATATAATGACATTCACCATTGGAAATTTCACCTTTACATAATCTCTCTTGGTTTTTATTTTTCCCACTTCCCCTGCCCTCCTTTTAACCCCTCCATTTCTCCCTATTTACAAAGATTTTGTTTCCATTTTTTCATTTTCTCATATTAATTCCATTCCCTTCTTTTCTTTCCCCTACACCTCCCACTTCCCCTTCCCCTTTGACCCTTTTCTTCCTATTTCACATTATCTATTATATCTTTTAGTCCTTATTTACACTTTTTAGTTTGTCACACTAGAGAAACTATTCTGTATTTACACAAGTGCATCCTATTTATTTCACTTAAGAGTATTGCCTCAATGTGCATCCATTTAGCTATAAATGTCTCTAATTTCTATTTTCTTATGGCTGAGTAGTACTCCATTTTAAAAAAAACTACATTTTCTTTATCCAGTCTCCAGTTGATGGGCATTTGAGCTGCTTCCATGTTTTAGCTATTACAAATTGTGCTGCTATGAACATGGGTGCACATATATCACTGTGGTATGACACTTTTAATTCTTTGGGGAAGATACCCAGCAGGGGAACACTAGGTCAAATGGGACTTCCAGTCCTAGTTCTGTGAGGTATCCCTATACTGATTTCCACAGTGGTTGCACCAATCTACACTCCCACCAGCAGTGGAGCAGGTTCCTCTTTCACCACAGCCCTGCCAGGATTTTTTATTGGTTGATTTCATGATAGCAGTGATTCTTTCTAGAGTGAGGTGGAATCTCAGCATTATTTTCATTTGTATCTCTCGAATGACCAGTGATGTTGAACATTTTTTCATATGTTTATTTGCTTTTTCTACTTAATTGTCTGAGAAATGTCTGTTTATTTCAGAAGCCCATTTTCAGATTGGGTCTTCAAATTGGGAGGTCTGATCTTTTGAAGTTCTTTATAGATTCTAGAGAGTAGGCCTTTGTCTGAGGAACAGCAGGTGAAGATTTTTTCCCACATTGTGGGTTGTCTCTTCACATTGCTGGTGGTTTTTCTTGCTGTGCAGAAGGTTTTTAATAGAAAGAGATTCCACTTGTTGATTTTTTGTGCTAGTTCATGGGCAACTAAGATTTTGTTCATAAAATCATTTCCTATATCAATGTCTTCAAGAGTTCTACCTAACCTCTGTTCCAGATGATTCAGTGTTACTATTTTAATATTTAGATCTTTAATCCATTTCAGTTTTAGTTTAGTGCATGGTGAAAGATATAGGTCTAGTTTTAATCTTTGACCAGTTAAACCCAATTTTTCCAGCACCATTTATTAAAGAGGCTAACTTTCCTCCAGTGAGGGTGTTTGGCTCCTTTATTGAAGATGAGATGGCTGAGTGTGTCTGGCATAGTTTCTGCATCTTCTAATCTGTTCCACTGGT